TCTTGTATACCTCAGCAGGTAGTCCGTCTGGTCCTGCTGCCCTTCCCCGTTTCAGGCTACCTACCGCTTTCTCAACTTCTTCTAGTGTTGGGGGACCTGTCTCTATGTCCCATTCAGGGTCCGACTGGATAGCGGGCAGCGCAATGGTGGCTGGAGGCCAGTTAAACTGTTCCTCAAAGTGTTCTGCCCATCGTCCCAGTCGCCTTCCCTGCGAGTGAATCGCCGATCCGTCCTTCTCCGCTATAACCTCACTAACTGTTGTTGACCATTTCCCCCCAGTCTCCTTAATAAGTCTAAATAACTGTCTACTGTTACCGATCGCCGCTGCCTTTTCCATCTCTTTAGCCTTTGCTGCCCACCACTGTTCACGATCGTTGCGCAGACTTTTCGTCAGTTTATTTTTAAGTTGCGCTCGCTCTTCATTGTACTCAGAGCCTGCAGGGATGCATTCACGTGCATCCATTAGTTTGGAAGAAGCTGCTGATATCCACTGGCTCTTTTTAGCCATTATCTTGGAGTCGGCTACAGTCTCCAGTGCTGCTTTTACAGTAGACTGAAGATGGCACCAAGCTTCTTCTGGATGAGTGACAGTCTTTTGTTCCGATAACTGCCTAGCCAACTTCTCACTGAACACGGCTTTGGTGTTTTCGTTGTCCAGCAGAACTCGTAGTGGTTTTGTTGCCAAATTTTTTCTACGTCCATTGAGACGCAGGCATATACGTGCTCGGACCAACGCATGATCGCTGTCCAAACACGTACTCCAGAAGGAGCGGCAGTCTTCCACCGATCCTCTCCAGCGATGACTAATAGCAATGTGGTCTATCTGTGTCCATCGCTGAGTCGAGCTCGGTGGACGCCAGGTCAGACAGTGCCTTTCTTTATGTCTGAAATTTGTGCTGGCTAAAAATAGGCGGTTATCTGAGCATAGTTGTAATAGGCGATCACCGTTATCTGTACGTTCAGCTGGGATTCCGAAAGTGCCACCTAAGTGCCTTTCTGCCTCACTCAGTCTACCCACCTGTGCGTTGAGGTCACCTGCAACAACCACTACGTCCGAACGTTTGGCTTTCGAGAGGAGGTTAGACAGTTTATGGTAGAACTCGTCCTTCACTTCATCCGAACTACAGTCAGTGGGTGCGTAAGCAGAGATTACAAAGAGACAACGGCGAGTCTCACTATTCCTTTTAGTTCTCACTGTGCCGTTCAGCCTCATAGCGCAGAGGCGACTATCAACTGGGATCCAGTCTAGTAGTGAGTTTTCTGCCCTGGTGCTTAATGCTATACCTACACCTGCAAGACCACGAGAGCTAGCTATCGAATCTCCAGAAACTCGAAGGGTGAATTTTGCAGATTCACCAGATTGGTCAGGAGAGGTCAGGTGAATAACCACACTTGGGTCCTGTATGCGTGTCTCACAAACACAGCACACATCCATGCCCGAGTTGCTAGAGTCTTTGCCAACGAAGCCTGTTGGCCAATTTGACGGAGGGTGCGGACATTGAAGGCTCCAATATGTAATTTGGAGCGTGGTTTAAGGAGACCAGGGATGCTGTTCTGTGGACTCAGATCGTTGTCGAAGGCTGCAGAGGTAGGAGAAATTGAAGATGATGCAGCATCATTAATTAAGAGACGTGAAGGAAGATTAGAAGGTAATGATGGAGGAGGAGGATAGCAGTCAGAAGAAACTTGGGTGCTGACAGAGTTGTGAGGGCGGTTGACACTTCCCGGCTGCCCACACCGTGGAAGGCTATTTCTTCTTAAGGTACCTGAAAGAGATTTGTGTGACCGCAGAGCCCATCGGACATCTGCTTGAGGCCTGTCACACCCAGCCTTTTGAGTATGATTATTTTGAATTTTTGTATTTTTGGGGCCGGATGAGCGAAAGGAAACGACAAGTGAACCAACACCGCCGGCCCGGCAGACCGTGGGGCGTGGTGGAGTGTGTTATTTTTGGGGCCGACCTTTTCTAACCCCCCCTTCCACTGAGAAGGCAGCATCAGCATGGCACTGCTGGTCATCCAAGGGAAACACCTTACTGCTGTCACACCCCATCCAGCTAGCAGCAGTACGACTTCGCCCTCAGACCCCCATCATAGTGTAGCAATTTACACTATAACTGTAAAACAGGTTCAACACATGGAGTTGGGTTTCTGAAAAGCTTCGTGCTGTGTTATTTTCTTTTTTAATGACACACCGTAATCTTGTGTATCTTATTCACTGCCACACGGTGATAACGTAGAGGTTTGGTGTGGAACTAACAGTCTAGTGTACGCCATTTCCTCTGAAGAAGACCTAAACTTAGTTTACGGATGAACTTCAAAGGAAATACTCCTGATCTTATCAATGTTAATGCAACTTGCATTGTCGAACGATAGTAATGAAGAGATCTTCTACTCAATAGGAAAACTATCCACTGGTTTGAGAAAACTCACGGATGCGAGAGAATTTAATACGAAATTTAAATTCACGACTGAATCTCTCTAACATGACTAAATGAGGCATTTTGTGTTCGTTCTCCTCCAACTAAGATTTAAATGGTCTCGGAATTAGTGACGGTGAAACAAGGCCCAGTTTATGTTCACTGTTCTGTTTGTCTTCTGATAATTTAATGGACTTTATAAGAGGCAGGTAGTGTTCTACTGAACAACAGAGTGCAGGTAGAAGTAGGGGTGACTGGTCATCCCCATGTGTGGGTAATGTGCAAGAGTCTTTAAGTGGTGTGGCTGAAATGTGAATTGGGTTAGGTGGCCAGCTGCATCCCAGCGTTTAGTTCTTCAAACATTTGTCAGCCCACTTCTATGAAGTGAGTCAGGCCAGAAGTTACTTCTCATAAGTACTAGGAAATGGCCATAATGAGCGATACCAGACGCCTCATTTTATTGCTACTTAATTGGTATTCATACCTGGTATGAATTCTGTTTTAAATAAGAATATATTTTCCGTATTTTCAGCGGCACCAAACACTGGATATTTTTGCAATTTTCCGTGGAATACAACAGTATGCTTACAGCGTAACAATAGAGTATTATGGCAAATTCACCTCATTAAACGCTGACAATGACAAAATGCTTCACAGTATCTTCCTTATTGTGCTGTAACTAATGAATATATGACTTTGGAATATTTCAAAGCCGCAAATAAGCCTTTAACCATACCATCCTATCAGCTTCATCGTTGGTCTAGTGATGAAAATAGTCGCTTCGATGAGTTATCAGTTTAATTCTTCGAACAAATCTACACATGAGGAAATTTGTCATACCTACCCCTATGGGGAAGATTATTATTATATTATTATTATTAGTCCCTTGGGTTCCTAGTGGAACATAGGGCTTCAGTAGCACGCCTCCAGTGACCTCTGTTCTCTGAGATCTTTTGAACCTGGTTCCACGACAGCCCAGAAGCTCTCATTTCCTCCTCGCACGACCTCCTCCATGTCACCCTCGGACGTCCAACTCGTCGCTTCCCATGGGGATTCCACTCGAGGGCCTGACGCGTGATGTCCTCAGTCGGCCTTCTCAGTGCATGGCCAATCCATCTCCACTTCTTCCTGCATATTTGTTGCGTGATAGGTTCTTGGTTGGTTCGTTCCCAGAGTTCCTTGTTGCTTATTTTTTCTGGCCATCTGATCTTCAGCAGCGAGCGTAAGCAGTTGTTGATGAATGTCTGTAGTTTATTGGAAATGCCTTTCGTGACGCGCCAAGTCTCTGAGCCATACAAGAGCACTGACTTGACGTTGGTGTTGAAAATCCGTATCTTGTTCCAGATGCTGAGTGCAGAAGATCTCCACACTGGTTTCAGGCTAATGAACGCCTGTCTTGCTTTTCCGATTCTGACTTTGACGTCCTCGTCCGTCCCGCCTGTAGTTGAAACAGTGCTTCCTAGATAAGTGAAGGAGGTTACTTCCTTCAAGTTTCTCCCGTTGACGGTGATTGGAGTTTGTTGTTGTTGTTGATGATGGTGGTGGTGCGGTATCTTCATCACTTCTGTCTTCTCTATATTCACCTGAAGTCCCGTCTTGGCTGCCTCTTCTGTCAACTTGTTAGTTTTTGCCTGCAGATCTTCAAGTTTATGTGACATTAGGCATAAGTCATCAGCGAAATCCAAGTCTTCTAGGTTCTTTTCCGCAGTCCAGCGTATCCCCCTCTTCTCGCTGCCTACTGTTTGCTGCATGATCCAGTCCACCACAATAAGGAATATCATGGGGGATAGTAGGCAACCTTGTTTCACTCCTGTCTTCACTTCAAAGGCATCACTGAGCTTCCCATTGTGGATTACTTGGCATGTGGCATCTTCATATAGTTGTTGAATGAGGCGGATAAAGGTTTGCGGTACTCCGTAGTATTGAAGCAGTTTCCAAATTACTTGTCGGTCGACGCTGTCAAAGGCCTTCTCAAAGTCGATGAAGTTGAGGTATAGAGCTGATTGCCATTCTACGCTCTGTTCTATGATGATACGAAGTGTTGCAATTTGTTCCGCACATGATTTGTACTTCCTGAAGCCTGCCTGTTCCGGTCGCAGTTTTGAATCCAGTGCGTCTTTAAGCCTCTCCAGGATGATGCGGCTTAATATTTTACTTGGGGTGGACAGGAGAGTGATTCCGCGCCAGTTCTTGCAAGCACTGAGGTCTCCCTTCTTCGGCAGTTTGACAAGGTAACCCTTCTTCCAATCGTCCGGTACCTTCTCTTCCTTCCACACCTTCTGCAATAGTGGTGTGAGCATGCCCGCTGTTGTCTCTGCATCTGTTCTCAGTGCTTCTGGTGGGATTCCATCTGGTCCTGCTGCTTTCCCGCATTTCAGTAGCTTTATGGCGTTCAGGACTTCCATTTTCGTTGGGGGATTTATGTTCACTTGTAATTCAGCGGCTGCAGGTGGTATTTCTGGACGAAGTGTAGGTGGTGGTCGATTCAAGAGCTTCTTGAAGTGGTCGGCCCATCGTTTCCTCTGTTTCTCTTCTTTCGTAATTAAATTTCCTTCTTCATCTTTTATTGGTTTCATCTGTGTTGGTCTCTTCCCTGATAGCAACCTGGTTATTTGATACAATGTTGTCAGGTCTCTCTTACCTGCAGCCTGTTCTGCTTCACTTGCCAGTGTTTCGTAGAAGTGTCTTTTGTCTTTGCGTGCACTCTTCTTCACTTCTTTGTCCAGTGTTTTATACATTGTGCTCAGTTCCTCTTGTCGTTGAGCATCCTTGCACTGGTTTATCTTCTGCTTCACCATCCTCCTCTCCTCTATCAGCTTCCAGGTATCCATCGAGATCCATTCCTTGTCTTCTTTCTTCTTCCTTCCTAATATGGCTGTGCAGGTTTCTTTCCACATAGCTTTTAAAGACTTCCAGTGTTCTTCCACACAGGTTTCTTCAGGGATGTCCCTCGATGTCTCTCATTTTGTCTTGATGGCTGCCGTGAAGATCTCCTTTGTAGTTTCATCCTTCAGTTTCCTAGTGTTGTACTTGAATTGAGGTCTATCACCAGCTTCCTTGAAGGCTTTTAACTTGATTTGGAAGGTTCCTTGCACTAGATAGTGGTCTGAACCTACATCTGCTCCTCTTCTTGACCTTGTGTTAAGTAGACTGCGTCTCCATTTTCTCGAGATTGAGATAAAGTCGATTTGATTTTTAGTGTGTCCATCTGGTGAAGTCCATGTCGCTTTGTGGATATCCTTGTGCCTGAACACACTGCCTCCAATCACCAAATCGTTGAATGCACAGAATTCTGCAAACAATTCTCCATTCTCATTCATTTCACCTAGCGCCTCTCGACCCATGGTTAGTTCTCTTCCCGTGTTGTCCCCTCCCAGTTTGGCATTCATGTCGCCCATCAGAATTTTGATATCGCCAACTGGCGTCTTGTCCAGTGTTGATTGAAGTTGTCTGTAGAATTCCTCCTTTTTCTCTTGCTCTGCATTATTTGTAGGTGCATAACATTGTATGATTGTGTCCTTTCTTCCTTTTGAGTTGAATCTTACTGTCATGATCCTGGAGGAGATTGGTTCCCACTGCATGAGAGCCTTCGATGCTCTTGAGGACATCATGATAGCCACTCCCTCAGTGTGCTCGTGGTTGGCGTCTGGGTGACCGGAGTAGATTATTGATTCTCCAGTTGACAGTTTGGAGAGTCCACTCCCATTCCATCTGCTTTCGCAAATCCCAAGCACTTCGATGTTATACCTTCTCATCTCCTTTGCAATCTGGGCTGCCTTACTGGGTTCAAACATGGTGCGAACATTCCATGTCCCCACGTTTACTTTCGCTTTCATCGAGAGAAGACACATCGGCCAATTGGCTTCCGGAAGGCTTTCACCAACTGGCGTCATTTCGCCTCTCCGATTCCAGCGGGGAATAAGTTTGTTTTCATTTTTTATATTTTGTTTGTGCTTTGAAGTTTCTTTAGCGGTTAGATTTGTTTTACGGGTAGGGTTGCTAGCCCTATGCCCAACCTTCCCTCTTTACCCGGGCTTAGGACCGGCTAGTAACTAGTAAACTAGTTAACCAGGCGAGGTTCTATGGGGAAGAAGACACGTTAAAATAAAGTGCACATTTCCGTTTAGATTTCGACCCGACAGTCACATCATTTAAAAGTTGGGAAGCCGATTATTCATCCAGACTTTTTATGTTCCGTTGCTTGCTATTTCCTCTCTCGAAGTGACAATAATGGTCAGTTATGTTGGTGAATGCGGACGAGAGGGCCCGTACACACAAATGGCGGCATGAGAGATGACAGTGACAGGCATGGCATTTAAATAGTGAAATGTTTAATACATTGGATGGTAATCAACTGTCTTTAGGTCAAATCCTCCTTGGTGAGCACGTATATCACAGTGAGGGATGGTCAAGAAAACCCTCACCAGGGCCTAGTTATTTTAATAGAAAGGAGGAATGATGATGATTGGTGGTTAGTAGATCTGTTGATGAAAACACATTAGTTCTGTCTTTATTCAACGGACAGAATGTCCTGATTATCGTCCCATACTTACCATCTGGTTTCACTTTTCTGTATCTTCCTTGTGTTTTCCATCCCGAGATTCAAGTGGTCTTTCTTGGTCTTACTCTAGACGTATCACTTGCTTATTTCATAATGTAGCCCTCCTATATCGAGTCTGCCGTCATGAGGTCTTTTGTTAATACAATCTTTTTCTTCTAAATTATGCACACGTACCGTTCAAACAGCGCAAACTAACAAAACCGTAGCTAGTCTACCTCAACTGCGTATCGAGGTCAAAAAATAACGCTAATTATATGTTAGCAGTGTGAATTTTAAGATTGAAAACCTTACTTTTCTTAGTGAAAAGTGCCAACCAACCTGACTGAACTTCAAGGTGTATTGTCTTAAAAATCATCTTATTAGTAAACACAGTCTCTACTTGCTGCTCCCTTTCTCGTTTTTACTTTCTAGACGCTGGTTTAAAAACAAACATAGCAATCGTCGTACACTGCCCACACCTTGAAAAAAGATAGAAATGGAGACACAGAATTTCGTCAGATTCAGATTCGGGTTTTTTGTTTGGGGATAGGAGGCTGGGAGCCTATATTATTCCTTTTCAAGTAGATCTCTGTGTTTGTTCAATCCCTTTAGAACGATACAATGATGATGCGGACACCACCTCCTCCGGTAGTAGGTTCCAGGTGTCGATTACTCGACGCGAGAACCAGTACTCTGCGGAGACTATGTTTTTCCCTTGCTTCTGCAGTCTCCTACCATGTCCTCTGAGGTGTTCCGACCTACTGGGAAGGAAAAGAGAAGATAGACCAGGTCCGAAGTCATTTCTTAGAATCCTGAATAGCATGATTAGATCTCCCCTCTGTCTGCGATAGGAGGAAGTGAATAGGTGTAGCTCCTTAAGTCGGTATTCACAGGTGAGGCCAGCCATTGCAGGGATCATACGAGTGGCTGCCCTCTGAACCCTTTCGAGAAGGTCTGCATCAACTCTCAGACAAGGATTGGCCGCCTGTGTACAATTTTTTCTAATTTAGTAAGGATGTGTATAAAATGGTGAACATGTCACCATGTATTTTCATAAACGTTCTACGTGATGCTCAAAGTGTCCTAAAACTCCGACCTGCTACCAATCGACAGTGTGTTATGGTTTTCAAGTCACGACTCACTAAGACTCCTAGGTTATTTTGGGTCAGTACTGACGGTAGAGGAGTCCCATCAATATCGTGTGATGCCATCTGTGTGACCCATGTATATGCTCAAACATTTATCTGGGTTGATATGAATTAGCCTCTTCTCTGACTAGGTAAAAGAGCTTTTTAGGTCTGTCTCAAGCGTACATACACCCTCGTCGTTTCTAACTTCCCGCCGAATTTCTATACCATCAGTGTAGAGAACCATAGGGGATTCCGTGATATTGGCAGCTCGTTTACGCATGGGAGAGACAACATGGAAACCAGGACTGTGCCTTGCAGCACTCCGTTATCTACTGACTTTCATGAGGAGAGTTGAGAATTGATCCCCACTCTTTGTCTCTTACCAACAAAGAACTCTCTTATCCATGCAAAGAGACTGGTAGTGATTCCAAAACGTTTTGATTCTCCGAGCAACTGGAATGAGGTGCCTTGTCGAGCGCCTTTCTAACGTGTATGAAAGAGGCATCTGCATGTATCCTATCATCTTTATACTTAACCCGAATTTCTCTGATTGTAAGTAGGTTCATCGAGTAAGAGAAATTTCTGCGAAAGCCATGCTGCGGACGAGACAACAGAGTGTTGCTGTGATGGCTTTCTTGACTACTGTTTCTAGGGAATTTACCACAGTACAAGTCAAACTTCTCGGTCTATAATTTGATGGGTGCTCCCTAGAACCTGACTTGTGGATAGGTGTTACTATGGCATCCTTCCAGTTATGTATGTGTGCCTTCGTCCAGGGACAGTCTAGATATGATAGTCAATGGGCTAGCTACATAGAGTGCAAACTCTCTGAGCAGCCTTGGGCTCAGCTCATCCGGTCTCGCTGATTTTTCCACTTCAAGAGTACCTAATGTCCGAAATATATCATTGCAACCGGTATCACTGACTTTATTCTGTTGGATATCAATGCTTCTACTGTTGGATAAGTGTCCACAGTAGATTCCTGTGTGAAGGCCCCAGCAAAATACCCAGCCATGACTTCTGCGTTTTCCCTATCGTCCTCAATCAGACAGTCAGTTTCGGTCCCCTTGGTTGGGGCGGGTATACCACAGTACGTATTATTTCTATAGTTCATATAGGAAAATAACCACTTCAGATGTTGCAATGCAGCCTGGGCAAGACGTGTTTCAAAGCATATTTGAGACAGGTGGATAACTGCGATTCATTTATTTAGGGCTTCTACATAATCCTTCATCACTTCGGGAGTACCGGGGTGCGTGGCAAGACTCTAACACTTCTTCCTGTATCGTAGCAAGACTCGAACCTCATGGTTTATCCAGGGAGGACATTGTTTCCGTCCCCTGTTTAATACCCTCCATGTCCGCTTGCCATATGTTGGGTCTAGCTGGGGCATCGGCCTGGTACAAGTCGTCTACCCTGAATCTGAAGATGATCACAGAGGGATCACTTTTACCAAAGGGTGCTAGATGCAGGATGGGTATACATCATCTGTGTGTGAGAATACTAAGACTAGAACTGATGGAGCATGCTGATAATGTATCTGGTTGCTGCTCTAAAGTGCTGCATAAAAGCTAAGGAAATTGATGTTTCCACTAAACTGTGCTCAGACGAGTTACATGATGCTTCTGTTGTTAATCTATCACAGTCAACTGATGGTGCGTTGAAGTCTCCTACAACCAGACATCGGTATTTATCTGTTTAGGGGGCCAGCCTGTTCAGAAGGAAGTCTAGTGCTGCACATTCAGGGCTTCGATTACATTAACATCTGGTCCCTTGCATTTTAGTCGTCAGCACAGCACTTCACATGTCCCTCTCTCATATGCAACCGTTGTTATGGTTTTTACCGTTAAGATGTTCTTAACGTAAAGGATGCCACCACCACTTTTGCGTGCTAACCCATCACTTCTAAAAGGAATGAATCCTCGTCAGTGTGTTTCACAGTCACTGATCCAAGAAGGGAGTCAAGTTTCTGAGATAGCAATGATGTCAGGACTTTCTCTGCTTATCACATTACTAACTTCAGACCACTTGTTTAAGAGACTACGTACATTTGTGTACAAGACGGTGAAATTACTTAAATGAGTTTCTGTCCTATCTATGGAGGCTTAGGCATCATTTGCTGCTGGAACCTCACTACACAAAAATCCGCTACTTTCAGATCTTGTTCTCCAGCTGCTAATTCGGTCTTTAGTCCTGCTTCTGCTTAGGGATAAATATAGGCTCACAGCCTCTTATCCTCAAACAAAAAATCTGAATCCGAAATAGTGATCCTTCTATATGTGACAAACTCTACTAAGACACTTATGGGCATAAAATCTGTAGTCTCTTCA